ATCAATATGATATTGACCTATTTTCATTCTCAATATGAATAATAATAATCTATGAAATAATATTATTGTCACGTAATCTCATTAAAATTTCATATCATGAACTGGCCATGGTTAGACAGTAGTTGATAAAGAATCGACCTAATGAATTGCAATTTAAAACACAATCTGACCTCGCGCTGACTCGTATTGACTAATATCACACTGCGACAAAATGTAATATTCAAAGATTCATTAGAAATGACAGAATATTCAAATATGAAGTGATTCAATGAAGTACGTGACAATAAAGTTGGTGCATTCACGAATGATGATTGAAGTTAAGAGTATATTTATAGTATAATCAAATTCATTTAATCACGCTCACGACTCATTTATCAATAAATATTATATTTCTAACAACCAATGCTCTCATCCCATTGTCATATCATATTATTTCATGTATTTGATTCATATTAATGTAATAATGACTTTGACAAGATTTATAGGTTCATGTTCTTTCCATGTGCGGAACAAACACAGTTAGTAATTAGGGTGATACATAACAAGAATGGTTTGACCGAAATGTTATTGTATCTTATACTGAATGTGAATATTATCATGGAGAGAATTGGCTTCATAATATAATTTAGCAAAGCATTTTGTGGTCTGTTGTGTTTTGGCAATTACCTCACAATATTAGAGAGGATGTGATTTGGTTGTTATGGGCAAGTTGTAACACGTGACATTCTAACTGATCACGACATCATTGCATTCTGATCACTGGGATGTAAAACACGTTTCTTTCTCTCTTTGAACTCTCCTGTTGGATATACTTGTATTCCATTGCTGGTGTTCACTGTGAGATCAAGGTACATTTGACTGACTGGTCACAAATAGAACGAGATATTTCTGTTGAATGTCGCTGTCTGGTGATTTGCGAAATACTATCAACTTGTGAATGCAGCTAATTCCGAGGAAACCATTCAAGAGGCTGTGATGTGAACACAGACTGACCAGTTCACATGTGAATACTGACACCTGGAATAAAATTATATTTACGAGTGACAATCGACCAGTTTGTTGGTGTGATAGTTGTCCACAATCGATATAGATCTGCATATTCACATGTGCGTGTGTATTGATGTTTTCATACAACGTTTGCATACTACGTCAATACGAAGACAACTGATACTCCAATATCACCAAAACGTTTGATCATTCGACCACGAGAACCCATCAAATAACACACATTTTAAACTATGCATATGTCATATATACTAAATATCCATCTTAATCCCTTCAACATGATGAATGTGGAATGTTGGATTCATGAGTTTTGCAGAGTATGGTGGTCTTTTCACAACATACGCTAACCGACTATCCATGTAGGTGACCGCTATTTGATAACATAGGAACGTTTAAGTGTGGATCATAAGGTAGTGAGTGATATGAGCTAGTGGCGTGAGAGGGTGATAGATGAGCAGTAACTTGTGATCAAAGAGGGTTTAACAAACGTTATTTCATATTTGGAATTCAGTTTACAATGGCACAGATTTCCGTGTGTATAGTTTAATTGTGCACGATTGTGAATAGTGAACCCTCATATATTGACTGTTTTCAATCGTTCTACACACTGTCTGGAAACATTGACCTATACTTATAATTGTTAACAACAAATGCAATTGACTTGACCAAACAGACAAGTGAACGTTTGTGTATACAACACAGATTTAAAAAATGTTTTCGTTAGAATTTTATGCCAAATCATCATTCAGAATCTATCGACAAAATCGCAAGTTCATCAGAGTGTATTGAAAATACTAATAACAATAATGATTATGGTAGAGTTCTCGTTTACAAATCCATGGTTACATTATTACGTAACTGTTTTTGGACATGAGATTTATAGTAAATTAAATGAGGTTTCAATGTAATTGATAATTGAGTCACCATTTCCAGTCACCTCAACGGTAGTCGATGAGAGGATGTTGACCAGTAATATCTCTATTCCTTGTTGATTTGACTCTCAGAAAATGGCAAAATCAAAATTCGTTAGGGAAGTTAGTTGTAGTTTCCCGGAATCTGTATAATTTGTTCAAATCTCTTAGTTTGGTAAAGTGGATAGCTTATCGACTAAATGTTCTAATAGTTGAGGATGTTTACAATTATTGTACACGTGTGTTTTCTATGTGAACTCGGTAATATTCGAACTAGAACAACACATATAAGCGAACAATTGTTTTCAATTAGATCGTCATCAGGCTTTACTCTAATATGCATGAATATTTATACGAAAATGTAAACCAATCAAGGCAATATGAGTCAATAATCACAATGAAATAGAATAAGTCTCTACACACAATGGGTAAAAGTACAAGTTGATAGTAGGAAGACAGGTGAACTGATAATAGTAAGAATAATAAAATACAATAACAAAACTCTTATCAATAGTTAAACGTTGGAAACCCTTATACATGAAAGTGGATAGGACTGTTCTCTGGGATTGTCTATTGAAGAAGGGTGTGTCTGAGAAGTTTATTAACATCCTAAAAGCCCTATATACAAACACCTCAGGCAGAGTGAGGGCATATAACCACCTCTCTCCATTGTTCTATTCGAGCAGTGGGGTTAGGCAGGGTTGCACAATCTCATCATTCTTCTTCAACTTTGCCATCGATGACATTCTAGAAAGAGCTCTGATGGATGTAAGTAATGGCGGTGTGGATCTGTTGCCTGGAGAAAGACTTCTCGACCTTGAGTATGCGGATGATATTGTCTTACTGTGCGATAATGCCCAAGGCATGCAATCCACACCTAATCAGTTGGCAGTCAGTGTCCGTAGGTATGGTATGCGCTTTGCACCTTCGAAATGCAAAGTACCTCTACAGGACTGGCAGGATCATAATCCTGTACTCACCCTGGATGGTGAGCAGATAGAAATAGTCGAGAAGTTCGTGTATCTGGGTAGCTGCATAAGTGCTGGTGGGGGTGTGAGTGATGAGATCAATGCACGTATAGTGAAAGCCAGAGCGGCTTATGCCAATCTGGGCCATCTTTGGCGCCTTCATGATGTTAGTCTGGCTGTAAAAGATCGGATTTACAACGCGTCGGTGAGAGCAGTTTTGCTCTATGCTTGTGAAACCTGGTCTCTCCGAGTTGAGGACGTTAGACGACTCTCTGTGTTCGATCATCGTTGTCTCCGAAGGATTGCTGACATCTAGTGATAACATCATGTTAGTAATGCAGAGGTTCGGCATCGTGTGTTTGAGCACAGAGATGATAATGCAATTGGTGTCACCATCTTGAAACACCGACTTCGGTGGCTTGAACATGTTCTACGAACGTCGTCCCTGAGAATTCCACGCCGTGCATTATTTGTCGACTCTGGGACTGGTTGGAGAAAGCGGAGAGGTGCTCAATATATGACATGGTGTCGTGGTATGAAAGAAAGCTGCAAAGGACTGGCTTCTGTCGGTCCTTCACGACTCCCTGGTTGGGGTACAACACAGTGGCTAGAGACGTTATCAGATATGGCTCAGAATAGAAGCTAGTGGCGATCATGCTGCAACCTTCTTTCACTTTCTTCATAAAACGTGGTTGTGTCTCCCTTGACTGAAAGATTTCTTCTGATCGTACCGTTCCGTTTCCTCATTATTACTATTATTATTACACTACCTTACACCGATCTCTTCGTTATTGTTTTTTTATATCTTCGTTTTTACGTTCCCCACTTTTCTCTTATTCTTCTTCTTAGATTCTCATTGTTTTGTGTGGCGCATATATATTTGGCGCACTCCTGTACCAATATATATGTGTTCAAATAAAAATAAATAAAAAAAGTCGATTAGGTACAAATCAGTAGATGTTGGAAAGCATCGACAGATGAACACCTGAAATCTTCGTATTACATAATAATCACAATATATTATACATCTAATTCGGGTGTATTGTGGATAACATTCGATAATCTGTCTGATAGAATAGTAGTGATTAAGTGTAACACTCAAATCATAGTTTCCTCATGATAAAATGCCGTGTAACAAAATATACGATCTAATTGAAAACAATTGTTAGCTTATATGTGTTGTTCTAATTTTCACAATGGGAATCTTTAATATTCCAACTGACAATTTCGATACAGTAAACTGCAAAAGAGATTTGATGACACGCGATTGACAGGCAATGGATTGTATCTGAGGCCATTTATTGACGACTATGTATCAAGGAAATATTAGGACAAACTGACTCAAGAATATGAATACGTGTAGAAATGAAATCCACCGTTTTACACTTGAGATTGAACAATATATAAACCAGTAAACAGATTAACACAGTAATGTTCAGTGTGGACTCATTTTTACTTTAAACTGTATATTATATTATGCATTCATAGTTAGACAAGATGTCTGCTCTAGTTTCCTGGCACTATATTTATTGATCAACTTGTATATCCTAAAGTATGCATACTGAATGATCGGATAGAAGACTCACTACTTGGATTAAAAATTCAAGATCACCCCTAATTCAGTTTATCAAGTCTGTTGTAGAAAAAATTCGATAAGTGAGTTACTGCCCCAGTAGTTCAGTGGTAACGTCTCAGACTGTTCGCTTTGGTGACACGGGATCGAACCTACAGTTATCTTTTACTGATGAGTATCAAATAGCACGAGATTTGAGTTCAAGACATCCAGTACACTACCTCCATCCACCTTATATGAGAAAGATATTTTTAAACTGGTTGGGACAGTCCTTAACGTCTGAACTTAAGTTCCATTTTAGTCCAAGTGATTAGATCATTTATTCGTGAAATTAGCAATAGAGATACACAAAAACAATCCTACAAAATTTCAAATTACATGATAATCATCTTGTTCATTTTAATACACTTCATAAAATCTCATCAATAACCACATTATGTATATAAGTCATTTAGGCTGATCTTAATTTAATAATAACCGTTTATTAAATATAATGCGTGTAATACCCAATTCATTTTTAAACAGTACAAAAGTCTGAGGAGTTTGAGCAAAGAAATATATATTTGTAAATTGGTCGGAATGAACATAAGCACACAATTTAGCGGTAAACTAAGAAAGCATTTTGTACTACAACAGATAAAGTTCGATAAGTTGAAAAAGTAGTAGCTCACAGTTCAAGCACAACAAATCAGTTATTGACTGCATACATATGAAACCTCGGTAAGTTTACTTATTTCATTCACATTTGAAAACATATATCATAGGTTGCCCATCAGATTTCAGGTAAACACGTTGACTACTAACTGGTTGATCAATTGGGAAATTTTTATTTGGAGGATAGATTATTTTTGGAATGATGCTAGGGCACACACTAGAAAAGTCAAATGTCCCACTGACCGCATTGGACTCTTTGCGTAAAACAATTATGAAAGCTGGGAAACCTTCGGCTTTGCGTTCAAATACCTCAAAATTCAACTCTTCTGTCTGAAATACAAGGAGGGAATTGCAAAAATATTTCTTCGTAAAGCCTGATAGAGACATGAATCACAGAACTACTGTAAACAAGCATTCGGTTATTGATTGTTTTGATGTACGCATCTCGTTATTTTTACAAGAGACTTTAAATAATATTAGTTCATTTTAGGATGAATATTATACCGTTGATAAGGGGTGTAAGTCAAGAAGTGTTCGACTTCTAGCCACTAAGTCTCAAGCTCGAACCCCGATTCACCTACTTCGACTTGGGAATTCAAATAGTACTATTAGCACTCCCACATAGAGTATGGTTCGTACCCAAGTACCTAGTGTGAATGAAACTCATTATTCTTCAACAGTATGATAATTCCACAACAGTCTATACACACATTGTGCAACTATCACTAAAACTATTCGGGTGAGATGAAATACAAACTGATAACCCAGTAACTGTGTGCAGTATCTAAATAACTAAGTATCAGGTTCATTGCTGAAAAGAGCACTATTACCTCAAATTTTACAATCAAATTAAAAATGATGCAAGAAATCAGTACAATAATAATCAACTTACAATGCGACTGGGTTGCAACATCCTGAAACCTCCCCATAGCAAGCTTTCATTTTTACGGATCGCTACAAGATCTTGAACAAGTGAGAGAGAAGTAATCCCACGACCACTTGATGTTGCGGACTAAAACAGGTGGGAAGACAAATGATCCATTATTTGTACATGACAACTTTAATGCAACAAAACACTTGGGGAACCGATTTTATGCACATCAACAGACATTGATATCTCGGGCGTCATCATTAGACTAGTTAACATCTCATGAAAAACAAATATACGAAATAAACTAAACGTTTTTAAGCCAAGAAGCAATAAAGAGAACTGAGTGAAATGAATGCTCACAGTTAACACGTTGTATTTTCAGAAATTGAAAATATTATAATCTATACAAAACATATGTTTCTAGAAAATCAACTCCTACAATGACAAGAAAAGGAAGTTTCACCCAGAAAAATCTGCAGTGAAAATTTAAAGGAGGTTTGAGTGAGTGGTTAACTACGACATAGTAAGAATCACATTTTGAATGTTAAAATTGAAGCAACTCTGATCATATATCGGGAGTCAGTCAATGCTTCTAATTTCCGTAACTACATATTTGAGGTAACATTAACTTATTTCAGGTTACATTTATCAACCTAGTTGAATGTGTGATTACTACTGAACAAAACAGACAGCTACTCAAGGCTAGAGGAGTGAGCAACTAATACTTTGATAGTTGAAGCTGGATAATCGTTTTCTGACAATGCAATCTACTTGCTTTTCAGTGTCAAATGACAGTACGTTTTAGACATGTATAGCAAGCTTATAAACAACTGTTTATTATGCAATCTATTGAGAAATTTTCCATGACAAAACTGGTTGAAAATTTTGCGTTTGATGCAAACGATCCCGTTAGTTTTAATGTTAATACCTTAAAACCTACGTAAAATAAATATTTAACAATTAAGAGCAAATGTCAATAATATTCTGGCATATTCGATCTCTAGTAGTCTAGTCACTATACGTACCTCGACTGTTTCATTAAATTTAAAGGCTTTCAAATATTCTGTAAAAGAAGTAACATTTGATAGCATCGCCGAGAAACCAACTCCAGATTGATCCCAAGGCATGACTAATTGAGATAAAAGCACATCAGTTTCTTTAGAGCCAGTGAACACAGTCTTCTCATCAAACGGGTAAAAATCGGCAGTGAATTTGGTATTTCTCGTCTCCTCATTTAACTCCGAACCATAATACAGTAGACAAGTGCCTAGAAATACAGCAAGCACAAATATATACTCCCAAAAATGGCAAAACTCAGGGAAAGTACAGGGTTTGCTAAAGGAATAACTGACTATATTTGCGACAGAACACAGCAACGTAATTGTGACGGATTATTATGATGGTCACAACTAACTAATTTACAGATTGGTAATGAATTCATTCTCCCCCATTCACTTACTGTGTTTACAGTATGCTAAATCCTTAAGGTTGTTATTTATTGGAACAATAACATAAAAATCGACAGCACATTCGTTTCCAGTTGCTGTGGTTCGAGACAGGTTAAAACCGATCAGTGATGTAGATGCGTTCATCCCATATTTGATGATGAGCTCCGAACTTGTTACTAGTTGTAATTTCATTCGCTATCTTCGAACTAAGTTTCCTATACGCAGTTGTCTACTACCGTCGACATCAGTGTTCTTATCTCAGTTTCCACTACGCGAAATTCCTCCTATTATGCTGATATCAAATACGGCAACGTGAGATAATTTGCATTTGTCACCACATCTTTAGTGGCTGACTAGAAAATTCACAAACTGTTCTGATGGGTTTGACACTGTTTTGGAGCGATACATTTCTGAATGACTAATCGGTTTACTTAGACGTTTGGGCCATCGATTTCCATAACTCTGCAGATATTGCAATAAATCTTTCGGTCTCACGTTACATCAAATGGAATAATTAAAAGTCGTACTTCTACATACTTACATGTTTCTATAAAGGGCTTAAACACCACTATGTCAAGTAACGGTGAGACTAGACTGAAGAACCCGTGATTGTTATCATGTTCACTGTTTCTTATCTTTGGAAGGAACCAGAGACAGTTACATGGAAATTTCTACATCCAATACATGATGGATGAAGTTGTACCAGTTAAGCTGGCATCAACATCTCAATACAGATTGGTGCAGAAAGGGACTACTAAAGAACGCAGAACACACTATTCGCATAATTACATCTCACCGCACGCTAAAAGGTAAATTTATTGTTACCTTGCGTAATTGGGGCTGAAAGGTTTTACTGCAACAAAACCAGTATTTTATGAAGAAATTATTGGTACATAGTAATCTTGACACGTAAAAGGATATAAATGGTAATTTGTAGCTTGATAATTCGGTACTTCAGATCTCTATAGCTCTTCAATACTGCCACTACTCGGGATACTAATGAACTTAGTCAGGAACAAGTCCATGGTTCTTCTTCAGTACGTTTTTAACCGATGTAAAAACAATTGTTTAAGCTTCTTATGACAAACGACAGACTCAATTGCAGAACACACATGACACATAACTCAATAGTGTGTAAAATGACGTGACCTCATGTAAAGTAACTTAAAAGACTAAATAAGCACTTATTTGAAACATACAATTGGAATTTCAGCAAGTTAAAGGAATCACCACTAAGTTTGTTTATAGTATTGAGAAGGAAATAAATTCAACACAAATGACGACGCTCACCTGGAAGCAGAAACGTAGAAGCCAAAGCAACTAGATCAGACTGTCTAGGGTCAGTAGTTGAAGCAGCTGCCAAAGCCATGGAATCTCTGTCATCCACACTTAGCATATCATACGTCAAAATATTGTTGTTTATCACGAGAGGATTAGTTGGAGGTGCTTTCCTACAAAATAAGCTTCGAATAGAACAGCTTACCAACCACGCTGCTTAACAAACTGACGGCTTACAACTACATGTGCTGCTGGCGAATCTTTCGTCCCGAGATACTGCATGGAAGGGTCTTCCTTCTCACTAATACCATATCCTGTATTACCAGCATCAACTGCCAATAACCTTAGACGTTTACAGTAACACACAAATAACTTACTTTGGTTTCCCACTGGACTCTGACATTTCATCGACAACCTTTCTAATTCTGCGAACAACCTCCACTGATTCATTCAGGTAAATTTGTGATGTCGGATATTTAGCAAACCATTTTGAACCCAACTATTAAATAAAATTAACTGAGAAAAACGCACCTCTTTTGTAATCGGGGCGGTGGGTTCTGCACTGTTTTCAACATAGAAAGCAACATTGTCTAAGAGAATACCATCTATGCCCTCATTGAGCCAAAACTTTGCCACATCCTACAATGGATTCAAACTTCATTATACTACGGCTTAACTTACAGAAACACGATCCAATGTAACTGACTCTCTCAGATTAAGATCAACAAACTGTGAACCAAAAACTGAGTAATATCCGGTGCCTTGTATAACGGTTCTTGCATCGCCACCTAAACGGGAAATCTAACGAAATAGTACAAACGTTCTTATCATGTTCTTACCCGTCCACCACTCGGATATGGTTCGAGCATAGACGTTGAATCAGTCCATGAATGTTTCGCAGAGACAGAATTAAAGTCCATGGTCAAGACCACATGAATACCATTTTTGTGGCATGACCTCACAAAATACTTAAAATCTTCCATAGTACCAGCTGCAGGGTCAATAGTATAGAAATCGTCCACAAGACCCAATGTTTTCTGGTCATTAGTAAACTGACCGGAGAAAATAGAACTGAGGACAATGAATCCCGCACCTATAGTACTTTTGATATATCCGAGTCTTTCGACCAAGCCTAAACGTAAGAGAAGAAGGATATGAACTTAACTAACCTCGTAGATCTCCGATTTTGTCACCGGTAGAATCCGCGTAAGCAAATGGGTTGACCCAATACCCAGCACTTGATCTCCAGAAAGGCAGAACAGGTCTTGGAGGACACTTGGGAGTGAACACTATTATTAAGATTGCCGCTAAGAGGAGTCCAATCCAAACAATCCAAAACAATATAAATAGACCCCATCGAAGACGTAACCACAACGGCTCTTTGCTGTCTAGCTGCATCAAGTCTTCTCTTGTAAGTAAACGATAGGTGTCTTTTTGTCCTGCTTCATTTTCATTCGTATCAGGACTATCTTTTGAGGTTGGTAAAAACCCCACCTCCTCGTCGTATGGAACTCTACCATTGGTACCGCTCAAACTCATACTTTACACAAACCAACCGCTTGTAAAATGAGAATGATGAAATGTAGATGACAATAGAAAAGAAAAACAAAATAGCAAGTTGCTCAATCGGTCATTCGAAATATAAGGGTGAAGGCTTTTACTCTAATACAAATTTTTTGTCGACGTGACAACTTTAAAATCTTTTAGTATTCACTTATTGACTTAACGCCTAACATTGTGGAGATATGAATGACAAGCGCACTCCCTATCTAAATCGCTACTGAAGTCGAGACCTGATCGACCAAGTACCAGAGACCGATTCTTACCAAAAAATTAGAGCAGCTGTAATACAACACACATCAGTATCTGACAAAAAAGACTTCAGCAACTGTTAACAGCATGGGAACTAGGTGACAAGAGACCATCTCACTTGTTACGGCATATGAAACAACTCTCAGGTCCGTACAAATTAGACGAAACCTCGCCTAAACAAATGTGTTTTCAACCCTTACCACACAATGTGAGACAGATACTTGGCGTGTCTGGGAATTCTGTCAACCTAGAATATTTGGCGGACAAAACGATGGAAATATACCCCGATTCAAGCCTCCAGTAAAGAAATTTTTGAGTCACCCATTCAGCATCCAGCAACAGCTAACACAGTTAACAAGGCAGCTAGCATCACTGCAGGTAACTGTAGCAACGACCCATTACAGACCCGCTGGATCCACGTCCAGAGAATGATCAGTGTCCAGACAGCGCCCTAGGTCACACAAGCGGGCAGCTGGTATTTGTTGGTATTATCTGAAGTATGTTGAGAAAGCACGTCGCTACACACAACCGTGCAAATTTACAACAAACAAGCAAGAAAACCAGGGAAACGAGCCGGCCAGACGGTAGTGGCGGCGTCTCTTACTGGCCAACACACTAGCCGCCTTTTGCATATCAGAAACCGTATTTCTGGCTCAGACTTTTTAGTCGAAACAGGAGCAGAAATAAACATCATCCCACTTCACCTCTCACGACGACAACAAACGACAAGTACCAAACTGCCTCTTATCGCGGCTAACGACATGGTCATTATAACTTATGGTGAACAATCCCTTATATTAGGTCTCCGGCTCCGAAGATTTATGTGGGTTTTTATAGTCGCTCAAGTCAAGCAACTCATTCTCGGGGCGGATTTTGTCAGCACCTTCAGTTTATTAGTAGACACGGACAAAAGGAAGTTGATTGACCAGAATAGACGTTTGCAGGTGAATGGTACTCCTACGACCGATTGTGAAATTCATGGCATACGAATAGTAAAACCTGCGAACAATCTTTTCACTGATATCCTAACGAAATACGAATGTATCACTAAAGTTGATTACCAAAAGGAATGCACGGCACATCAAGTGCAACACCACATCACCACTACATATCCACCCATTTGTACCAAGGCGAGGAGAATACCACCGCACAAGTTGCAGACCGCGAAAAGGGAATTCAAACACATGAAGCAACTTGAAATCTTTGGACAATGGAACAGCCCTTGGGCTTCGCCATTGCACATGGTACGTAAAAAAGATCAAGACTGACGCCCATGTGGTGATTACCGATGTCCAAATAATCAAACCGTCCCAGATAGGTACCCAATCCCACACATACACGAGTTATCATTAAACTGACTTGAAAAACGTTCCTTCTCGAAACTTGACCTCGTGCGAGCATACCACCAAATTCAGATGGCACCAGAAGACATCGAAAAACAGCTATCATTACACCTTTTGGTTTGTTTGAGTTTTTAAGAATGCCATTCGGACTAAAAATTGCAGCTCAGACCTCCCAACGATTTATGGACGATGTCACCTGAGGTTTAGATTTTGTATTCACCTATATCGACTATGTTTTGATTGCCAGCCCACCAATTGAAGAGCATGTCCAGCATCTCCAGATCTTTTTTGACCGTTTTAAATAGCATGGCGTCGTAGTCAATCCTTCGAAATGTATATTCGGTATCTCAGCCATAGAGTTTCTGGGACATTACATCGACTGTCAGGGCATTAAACCACTTCAGAAGAAAGTCGATGCTATTTTCGTGCCTTAAGGTAACCCTCGTACTATTGATAGAAGAAACCAGTCAAGTAGTGAATAGGCCTTTATTTCGATCCTCGCTCAGTCACAGTGAAGCGTGGGATTATCTGTTCAGACAAACAAAGGCTCTCAACATTCAATATAAGATAATAGGGAATATAACGCCTATACAAAATAAGGAAGTGAATGAATACTTGAACAATACTGTTTTGGCATATGCTTGGTTGTTTGGGGTCAACTCTTAACCAACCAACCTAAGCTGTTACACTATCATCAATTACTCTGAACCTGCTTCAGTAAAATCATCACGTCGTTCCCTCGGAACATGTTATTTTTACCGACGATTTCTACCAGATTGTGCAGACGTATAACAACCGTTAACAGATTTACAAAAAAGTGATAAAAAAGGGATGAACAAAGAAAGGAACCACATATTTAAGCTACTTTTTGATGCCAAAACGGCATTCGAAAAAGCAAAGTCCATGATTACCAACGCCACTATGTCATGACATCTAAATGCTGACCCCAGAACCCACCTGATTCCATGTACGGACGCGTCACAGAAAGCCGTCGTGGCAGTATCACAACAGCGAGTCAACAACTTGACTACTTGTTACGTCCAAGTTTTGCTCGTTCCAGTTATTGAAGTACGGACTATCGATCTACTTGCAAATTACGAACCCAAATTAACAACGGAACCAAGTTCCAATTTAGATACCAAATTTATTCGTAATTCACAAATATTCGACCAAATGTCGTTCTAACAACAATAATTATAACAATTACAAAACAAACCTTCAATTTTGTAGGTTCCCGGAGCAAAACTCCCAAATATCAAACCAAAGACAAAGAGAGCACCAAAATACCAAACCAAAGACAAACCAAAATGTCCGAAATAATGATATAAACAAACAAGTTCAAAAGTTCAGTAAAACAGTTACATCCAAAAAACACAGTAAATTATTAATGTACAATAAAAGGTTTTAATCCGCCAAATGTCTTCAGTTCGCCGTAACACTACTCCCTTAGCGTTCTTCTCCAAGCGAGTATCACCAACTCAAGAACGTTGTAGCACTTTCGGACTGGAGCTACTCGCCATTGATTTAGCAGTCAAACACTTTTTTATTACAAGGGCGTACGTTTTCTAACATGGCGGATCACAAACCTCTATGTCATTCATTCAACACCTCTTACGATCGACATTCACCACGAGAAGCACGGCAATCGGATTGCATCTCTCAATTTACAACAGATATCCAATTTACTAAAGGACATAATAACGTCGTAGCCGATGCACTATCACTAAAGGATATGTTAACAAGACGGTGATCTTGAAACAATAGCAAAATTATAAGTAGGCGATGCAGACCTAAAGAGCTGCAAAGAAAAGTCTAACTTGATTCTCAAATCTGTATCCATTCCTTTCTCAAACGCATCTATCATTTGTGACTTTTCAAAGGTCAATAAACGTCCCTTCGTACCTCAAGCTTGCCGACGCCAAGTATTTCGACATTTTCACAAACTTTCACATCCAGGAATCAGAGCTACTACTAAACTGATTACAGAACGTTTCGTGTGGCCGAAGATAAACGCAAATATAAAGCGATGGCCCCGAAGCTGCATGCAATGTCAACGCAGCGAAATTCAAAAACACACAATTAGTACTGTTGGGAAGTTTCCACTGCCAGATAAATGCTTCCAACACATTCGTTTAGACATAGTCGGTCCCCTGTCGCCATCAAATTCGTTCGCGCATATCCTCACGGCGGTGGACAGGTTCACAAGATGGGCAATAACATTTCCTATAACTGACACATCTGCAGAGACAGCAGCAGGCACATTCCTTGACCGATGGATATCAAATTACGGAGTACCATCAATCGTTATTACAGACCGTGGTCCCCAGTTCCAATCTATCATATTTCAGGAGTTTACAAAACTTCTGTGTGTGAACCATATTAAAACGACAGCTTGTCATCCAGTAGCTAATGGTCTGGTCGAAAGATTTCCCCGCCAATTGAAAAGCTCACTGATGGCACAAGCTGATACATCGAAATGGAGTGATGCATTACCTCTCGTACTCCTAGGAATTCGTTCCACCATCAAGGATGATTTATGTTGCACTTCAGCTGAACTAGTTTATGGTACTAAATTAACATTGCCAGGTCAGTTGGTTGATCAAGAATCAACAGTGGCAAATGATCCAAGTGGTTGCGTAAGCCGTCTACTACAAACAATGCAAAATATTAAAGCGATACCTTCGCGTGAACATAACAACCGCGTAAAACTTGATAAAGACCTGGAGACTTGTAAATTAGTTTTTTTCTGAGTCGACGCAGTTAAAACGCCATTGAAACAACCGTACGAAGGACCTTACCAAGTAATTAAACGAAAAAAACTAACACTTCAACACTTTGGGTATTCTCATTTCCCAAAATAAAATACGTTATTCTCATTGTTCTTTTGTCGGTCTTGTATGGTTATATTTGTTTCCAATTTATTTCTTTTATATGCGTGATTGTGTGAAGACTAGCCTGTTGCTGCTAACATAACTAAAGCGCAAATGTACACCACCCCTTCGTGTTTACGCTCGAACCAGCAGCAATGAGGCCAAACATATGTTACTACCGTTTTGTTATTATTTTATTTGAGTTTCCACTTGGTGCAAATCATTTACTTCTGTACATTCGAGGCAAGCACGTAGAAAATTCGGTGCAAGCACATATTGCAGGCATGAAGAAAAGTTATTCTATGTGTTCTCGCTCGCACCACATATCATCGAGTATTTTGGATGCATTTATTTATTAGCTGTGAACAGCATTTTTGCCGTCTTACGTCAATTTTCATAATGTTTGTGCTTATTACACAGCTTTTATTCCAGTCAACCAAGAGTTTGACGTAGTTGTTTTTCACTATCTGAGTGAATATGAAACCAACTGTAGTGTGGTCATTTGTATAAATCTGAACTCCAGTAAGTCAAATGCACTGTTTATGTGGTCACAAATGGACTATGGTCAGATTTGTTGAAACGAAAGTGGTCTTCAAAAACTTTTAACATTTGGTTCACCACCATACTGAAGTTGTTGAACAAGGATGTCTGGTGGTTGTTTGATAAATGCAGTTTGAGATAATACTGTTCTGAATTAATTGTAAATATCGAATAAGTCTCTTGTATACAAACATAAACAAATCTAACCATCATGAGTATCCTCATTTTTGAAGGGACTGACATATTAATGTGTAACTTGTCTGAGGAGGGAAAATTATATGAGCAATAACTGACGTTAATAGCTTTTTCTGTTCGTATTGAAATTGCATAAATCACTAATGTAAGTGTCAAATTATTTAGCCACGTATTCTTCATAAGTAAAACGATACACTTTTGTTTCGAACGTGGTAAGTGAACTAAGTCATTGGTGAATATTTATTTATGATTTGTCCGATATAAAGACTGAAAATGAATTTCCGTAAACAGGATCGGCAAACACTGACCAAATTATAAACAGAGATCTAATTCAATTGATTTGGAGTCGAATGTGAGTGATCCCCAGCTTCGGTCAAACGCAAACCATTCAGCTAAACGAATTTAAAAATTTTGAAACCCTGAAATACCCGAATTACCTATAGTTTAAGTTTTTCAGTACGCAATCTGATGATGAAGACATGAAAAACGTCAAGTTCAAAACTGGAATGCTATGATAGCAATCAATGTCAACCAATCGACACTACCACAGTCAAAGTTTTGTATTTTTGGATGTAGTTGTGCAGTGTGAACTCTATTTAGTTAACCGCGATGCATTTTTGGAGATGATTTGTTGTCGGAACTGGTTGAAAAATTTCAAAACCACAATCGAATCTTGCTCAACTGAAGAACTTTGAATCGAGCAGTCTCTGCCAAGAGATAACATCCAGGTCTGTAAAAGCCATAATGGAATTAGTTGGTGCAATGGTACTGCCTTTAGCCATGGGCAGGAAACACCAAAACATTTCAGAAATCTTAGTTAGCCGCAGAACAGAAAGTTAAAGGCAATAACTGGAGTGCACACACGCGAGAAAATTATGTGAGCATGCGTTCTGGCAGCCACTTCGGACTGGGAGTATACTTAACCTTAGTTCGTAATTGTGGCAGTTAACCTGGCAACCAGTCAGAATGCAGCGGAATTTATCATTTCAACCCTCTTTGTAAGCGATTGTCATCGGCTATCCTAGTTCTGTGATTCGTGCCAGCGTTTTTGTGTCGCTGAAACCTTTATTCCGGTAGTTCACTGAAATTCCGTCATTTACGTTGTTCTCTAAATGTTAGCGCTTATGATTTCGAATCAATCTGGTTTTCTTGTTTTTTGCTAATACTTTGGTCAGCTGACCTGTTTATTCTTCCCGTCACGCGATTGTGCTCTATGTGACAAAATAGTGATGCTTTTTGTTTCGAATAGTCTCTTTGTAGATACCAAATGCGAGGGCAAGCATTTTTGGCTGGAAAAAATGTTGGTGTCGCCTGAGATTGTTTAGCTTTCCATATATTCCCCCCTAAATATTAATAATGGGGTAGTAGAGAACTATGATAGTAAACGGTTTGCGTTTTGTCATTCTATTTAGTATTATGGATAACCCTCTACTGTCAAGGAGTCGAACCAGTACTGAGTGTCTAGCAATGGATACCAGTGGTATATTTAGAAGGACCACTAGATCCATGTATCTGACAATCTGAGACCAAGTCAGAAATGCTGTTGGTCTATTGCTGAAGGCTTTTATTGAGTGTAAAGCATCATTAGACCACTTGGGCAAATTACGAGATGCGTGAACGTAAGCTTAACAATGAAAAGCCGGAAATCCGCTAGCCGTATATGTTGTATGTATTTTGTTTGGGCTGAAGTCGGAAGCCAGACTGCCAGGATCATAAAGTAAAAGGGTAAATAACTGTCATCATGCTAGCGTCTTCATGAATCAAAGCTTACCGGTTGCATCGCCATGTTTTGTTTGAGGAATAATCTCAACCGGGACACATAAGATGATGCAGGAACAGTCTTACAACAAAAGGTATCTGACAAACGGTGTGTCGTTTATGAGATTCGGTAAACGTCAGTCAGAAGTTGTTATATCGTATGATTCTGGGCATATTAGGCCGAAAGTCTGTTATAATTATATTCAACAGCCTGGAGATGTCAGCTCTTCTACGCTCAAACCAATTTTCGGATAACGTCGTTGCAGCTTCAGTGGTCAGTACTTCCAGGATCACTGTTGGTTACAATAACACTCACCTTAATACCGAAACTATTTCTCTCATAGCAAGTCCACTTCTTATTTCCGAACTAGTAATGTATTCCAATGTGCTTGCATCTCGTTTTACGAAAAATTATCCAAGAAGATTTTCTGTACAATAAATTTAAATTGTCTGTAGTTAAACAGACACTTAATGTTGATTCACTGCCAATTGCACTTAATCAAGACGTAGAACACTACTCTACTAAGACTTCAGAATATCATAGTGTTCGTCTCGTAATTTCAACGCTTGTGCACATTAACGGGAATAAGAAATAAAATTGCTCTGGTTTCTAAACTTATATGCTTCAGTACCTCATTCAAATACCAAGTAGGCTAAACTAAAGAGGTATCGTGATTATCCTTTAATCTGAACTGATATGTTACTTAAAGTAGCTGACTGTAGATATTTAAGCATATACACTTTGAAATTAAACTATAAGCTAACGAGACTTACCTAAAAACGTTGAGTTTCTTACCACTGCCACTTCATGGTATTCGGAAACAGAGGGCCTGCCAACATTTCGGCCTCTCAAGGTCGTGTAGACTAAAGTGAGGCGATTTTAAAAGTAAGGTGTCTGTGCTTGACTAGTCACGGGTCTTACCTTTATCATTAAGAATTATATTTTTTGACCAGATTAAATCATTTTACATCACTGGGCTTAAGAATTTGAATTAAGTGGAACATATTTCGTTTTTGTGGCGCCGTAATAAAAAGGTTTAGGGCAACCTGATAAAACCCCACAATTTCCCCTGATCTGAGATTTTTCGTCGAAATCTCAACTTGCTTTGTGGAAATCCCCAAAACTCGAGGAAAGTTCGTGGCTTTGTCTGATGTTGGGGAATACCATAAATTTTCGTCCGACTTCATAGATAACCCAAAAATTCCCTTGAAAGCCATCAGATTTTAAAGATAGGGTTTTCGGCATCCTTGTTTCTATCATGAATTATTGTCAGCTATACTGCAAACGTACTTAACGGTAATAAAAATGAGGGAGTATCATATGGCAAATCGTTGCTTTCTCCTTGCTCTCGTTCGACTAGGCAACGATTTCGAGGTCGTTCGGCGTAATAGTTCACTTCTACTCTTGCGTTCATTCAGTCTTCATAGTGAATCATTACTCTTCGTTCTTAGTGTTAGTATTTTCGAACCTTACCCGTGTCCATCTTCTAGCTACTGTTAACAGCACTTTTCTTACTGGTCTAATATTCCTCTACTTTTTTATAACACTCAACTATTTCATCAGAAGTTGTCATATATCCTCTTCAAACGCAAGTCTAGATGCTTGTAAAATGTTGCCACTTAAAACTATTCTGTCAACAAATCAATCAACTTCAGTTAGCCTGATATACAGTGAGAATGTTGAAGTTTGATACTTGGACGCAAATAATTTGTTTTGGGAATCTTATGGTACTGTTTCGTTTCGCTAGATTGTGTGACTGAAAGTCGTGCGCTTGTTGCTAGTTGGAAAGTGTCCCTTTGAACTTATGTCGATATTCCATTTGATTCAGCTGCGTGTATTAAGTATCCTGATGGTTTGGAAATTCGTCAGCATAACATCTACACATTTATTATCACTGTTAAACCAGCCTTGTGTGCTTCCATAGTTTATACATAAACTGTTTGTTTTGTTTCTTCCTGATTACTCTCCTCAATATTATTATTAATTGCCACATCATATGTCCCAAGTTTTAACTGTTTTCTATTTTGTAGTTGTTATTTAAGAAATCTCAAATTTGAATGACTAATGATGAAGGGTTGCAGCGTCAGCTGCTTCAAGAATTGCAAAAACAACGATTCCAACAATTGGGTCATCAGTTAACTTCAATCTGTTGGGATAAATGTGTTACGAAATTAAGTAATTCACTTGACTCTAGAACTGAGAGTTGTATAGTCAATTGTGTAGAGCGTTACATTGATGTTTCCGGTGCACTTACTCGTCGTCAGAATGAAACACGTTTAGGATTTATGGATGTACAACCAAATGATTAGTTAATAAAAATACATCGATTGCAAATTTCTTTCTTCTCGATTCAAACCTTTGATTTTTTCCAAAATAATTGATTGACCTGACTTATATTTCAGATGGTTAATTTCCCCTCAATACGGTAAGATGTCAATAAAGTGTATGTAATGTTTTGTTTGTTACTTTCAGTCTGCTTAAATGCACTGTTGGATCTGCATTTTGTTCAGTAGGTCTTACTTTCAAATAAAATAAATACTGAAAAATAATGCTAATTTAAATAACCAGGTGCCGTTTTCACGTTTATTATCAAATACAACTACTTATCCGGAGTACGGAATTACAAATATTCAAGATGATAGTGATTTTGACAAACGTGTATTAAATAATTCCGCACCCGTCATTGTTGACTTTCATGCTAAATGGTGAGTAATTATTGTGAAACTGTGATAATTAGAAGTACTTGAATTATTATACAAACTAGGAATCCCAGAAATAATGAAATTGAATCTAGACGTACTAGATAAGCACAAACGAATGTAATGTATTTGGAATTCGAAATCAAGCAGTCAACAAGTACCAGGAATCATTAGTTCATGCAAACACTACATCCGCCACAGCTTAAATTATAGTCTAATTTTCCGCAATCGATTTACGTCTTCTCCTTATATTCATACTGTGTCTGTCCGACTGTGTATTGGATATAGACTCTGTATGATTTAGAGTATACTCATTAATATTAGAGTTAGTAACTGAAATTGGGACGGACTCACCTGGGTCCTGAAATTGCATACAATCTCCATGTCGTTTGTGTACTGATATCATTGATATCTAGAATTTAAACCATAGATATTCCAACGCTATCCTACCTCACGAAATAATGTTGGGTCTTCAAATCCCCAAGTTCTGAACCATGTGGCTTCATTTAAAATATATTTCTCACAATGACTGAAGTATTCATTAGAAGTAACTTCATGATAAGGAGAAACAACAGTTGATATGAAATCATCCGAATTGTAATCAAAATCGAGCTCATTTAGTACTAGTGCTTCGCAATGAACAAGTTTCGCACAAGAAACAAATGCATTACAGTGACAAATAATATATGATATGACATCAAGATTTGATTCTTCTGAAGTACTTTCCTCAAATTTATTATGAATTTCATTGCAGAGTAAAGGATCATTAGAAAGATCAGCATCTATCAACACTGCATCAGGTTTCCGATCAAGATTAGATTCACTCAACATATTTTCCTCAGATTTGTAAGAACTTTCATCAGGAATATGTGAATCATTAGGACAAACTATATCTGGCACATAACATGAGAGATCTGATAAGAAGTTGGTAGATTAGAAACAGTTGTCTCACAAGAATTCTGAGTTTCATATAATTCTGTATTGCTGTGTGACTCTATACCACTTTTCGAAGTCGTGGATAAAGATAAATGATCATTAGAAACATCCTACCTAAAAGGATCACAATCATAAATTTTTAGCAATAATTGCAGTGGAATGAACCGTAGTATTGTGGTGTGTGCTACTTATATTGACATAAGTAGTATATGATGTTAGTCGTGAACAGAAGGTTTGACTTCATTTTTAAGGAAAATCATTTTAGGGTTGTATCGTTCTCACTTGTAGACTCGAAATCTTGTGAATACTTTGGTTTTGCGATTGCTTTGAATCATATGGGTGCTGTTTATGACATTTAGTGTCTTTATCTACCCACAATTACATGACATAATGTATCGATTTTGAGTTTTTGTGGTATATGTTTTAAGTTCTTATGACGAAGTGGTTTTTGAGAAGCAGTGGATGCTCATACTTTAGGTACTAACTAGTAGTGGAGTCTAGCAAACTGAGACTCAATCCCAATGCCCGTCTCCTTAAATACCAGTGGTTCATTTATTCGAGTATTAAATTACATTAAACATGTAGATTGTTTTAATGTGAACACCATTAATGTAATGTATCAGGGACATCCGGTTAACGAGCCATGAACATGTCGAAGTGTGCGACTTGAATCACACTGCTAGTCACTGGGATATATATATATATATATATATATATATGGGCAGTATAGTATTAATATACTAGTCAAACCTTACACGGGCTATGATTTACCTATTGAAACACTTGTCATCCAGTTTCATGACAATAAAAGCTCCCTTGGTTGGTAGCATAAATTTGCATAAAATTATTTACGTAATATAGCAAAAAACGTAGTGCTTGACGCAACATAACACCAAAAAATAACTCATAATAAATAAGACTTATAAAGCAGTACCTTAATGAAATCAGATGTCTAGAATTCGTTCAAGGTAAAGTTGAATAGTGACTAAATAAGGAGATAATATAATTGAACATATATTTACCAAATGAATGGATCAGAGATTTGGTGTAGGATATCAAGTGTGTATTAGTGAGTTGCGAACTTTTATCGACTAATGTAATTAGGATATGTGCTACTCATACACTTAATTACCTTCTATCTTGATGTTCAATGATAGTTATCATAAAAATAGAGTGAAACAAGTCTAAGTATGGTCAATAATAAATATGTATATATTTTTGTTATACCTTAGTGAGTAGAAAAATTGTATTTATGACATTTTGTGATTTGATCTAAGCCACTTCTCCAGAGTAAGTAAATGACCGGATCAAGTCACGAAACATCATGAATAGACTTTCCTACTCATCGAGATATAACAAAACAAAGTATAATTATTGTCAACTTTCTACTTGGTGTTCAATTTATTTGAAACTACCAGGTCCAACGTTGGCATTAATACCTAAAATGTATGGTCTGTTATAATCCTAACATGACTTCGTGAAACCATTTATGGTTGGGTCGAACTGTTATGACGGTTGGTGTCCAAAATCTTATGTTAATACATGATATGCTACGCGCAAACCCCCACCTACTTGAGTATGAACACAAGACTAGACGAGAAAGTATATTGGGCTGCCGCATAAAATGCATATATATATATATATATATATATATATATATAGACATCTCTACGTCTTAGAAAATCAGTCCATTTCTTAGCCAATAATATGCACTTGTCCTTCAGATCACTTCTGATTTGCTTATCATATATCGAAAAGCGGTCCATATAATAATCGTAGTTCCTGATCACGGAGTTTATGTAACATGGCTTAAAATCAATCTCGGTAGTGCTGATACGATTTTTTCCTATCAACTATTTTCCTGAGTTTCAATCTTGTTTCAAATATTTCGATACCCTGTTTCATTCGTTGTTTTCAAATTATACTTCTAATGTTTTCACTTTTTACTATTCATTCATCCGACTTGTTTAATTTTTGTCCTACTAATTTTCTGTCTCTGTGCTAATGTAAAATTTCACCATTTGTAATACGTCCTAATTTGATATGATAGGTTAGATTTCGTTAGAGATTTATATCAACTATGAAACACTGAAAGCCAGAGAGTATTGAGTAAGTGTTTCCTATGTTTTGGAGGAGGGTTTTAGTGATTCGATGAAACAAATTTTTGGTCGTTAAAATCACTCTGATCAATGGACGGTAAGGAATGATAAAAAGTGTGGTTGGGTGATGGCTGCTCACTAGGCTGTATTCTTGACGTAATCCCTCAAATGATTCAAAATCACAGACAAGATCATTATCCAGATCAATATTTTTCTCATGTAGCAAAATAACGTGCTTATGTACAAAATATGAACACAAAATAAACATGATAAAATGTAGGCGATTGAAGAAAGTCAGTTTGTAGGTCATCCACTTTCCAATCAATTGCGATATGACTTACATTTAATACTGACCAATCTTGTCATCGTCTTATTGTTGAACTACTCAAGAATGTGCACTCCTATATGTCCTGATATGATCAAGGTTAGAGGGTCAGCTTTCCCCCTAGAATCACTTTCACACAGGAATGGGTTTATATCCTCTGCTAAGGAAGTCATATTTGCCACCTTGGTGCAGCTGCACTGTTTTTGGGGAAAAGAACGAAAAGCGAACATCTGGTACTTAAACCGTGTTAGTGAATACGGACGATGCATCTATAGCAGTTGGAAAACTTATTCAAAACCAGTGATGTACTTAGGATCTACGATCTTGTGTAAACAAATGGTGTGTAGACCTATCCTGGTCACCGACTGCCATGGAACTACATCTGACGTTGCTCGTTGTGGATTATAATTCTATATCAGAAGCTGGGAGGTGGCTACCTAAAATAACCACTTGCTTCATTATGGGTGTCCTGGCAATATCCCAACCCACACACAATTATGTTAGTAAACAGTTATGAATATACTTCTCTACTCGTTCGACTTAGCTAAACCAAACACTCGTCCTAAAAATTTAGTCCAATGCGGTCGATATCAGTCTAATTTCAATTAAAGTCTCCATAAATCACAGCAACGGAACAAGTTGTATTGGTAAAATTCCAGAGATTTATTGAGTAATAAATATCAGAGTTATTCTATGTGAAAGGTGTACTTTATGGTGGTTCGATTTGTCATATTTGTGAGTTTTTATTCTAACTACTTAAAGAACTAGCTTTGTTTGTGTTAGATAACCTTACGTATAAATCCTTTGTCTTTATTTGTCTCTTTTTTAAATCTAGGTGTGGACCTTGTAAAATTTTAGGTCCAAGGTTGGAAAATATAATGAAATCGTATATGAATTCTGTGCTACTCGCTAAAGTTGATGTCGATCAGTTAGATACTGTTGCCGAAAAATATAAGGTAAAATAGTTCTAACATTTAGGCTATTATTTATTTAATTTTTTGTTGTTTAGCATTTCAATTAATATGATACTGAGTAAATTTTAGACGTCTATATTGTTTTCTAATGAATCAAATGTCGGTTGTCTGAAGTAGCATGAAAACATGTGACGGTGACTTTATTGGTTACTGTGTTCGACTTTCAATCATACTAGGTAATATGCTGGAATTCCACTCCACCTACTTCAGTTTGGGCAGCCTGATAAGATCATCAGCCTTCACAATTAATAGGTGGCTAAAAGCCCAGCATATGAATCTGTACCTGGTAAGCCGATTGCAACATAAAATATTATCATTAATTATGAATCGATTCTGAGGGTCTTGAGTTCTGTTTCATGTCAGGGTTATAAGTGTATGCATTTGTAAACAGTTTCCATCAATGAAAAAACAACTGTCCATTGCTCCCTGATGTACAATGGTTGTGTAGTTGAAGTTTATCTTTGATCGTTTAATACTATGTGCGAATGATTTCAATTGATATAACTTAATGTCATCACCAGTAGCAGGTGTGTAAAAATACACTCCGTTCAACTGATAGATGATGGCTACAAGTCCTTGTATATCAAACTTGTACATGATTAATGCATTACACAGCATCTGTCTATCGAATCATTGATTATTTCTTTCTTGTTTATTGTTGTTTAGATTAAAGTTGTTCCAACTGTGATTTCCATCAAAAATGGCAAAGAAATTGAACGTTTTGAAGGAGCCAAAGAAGAGGAATTCATTAGACGTAAAATAGAATATGTATTAGCGCATAATGGTTAGACGCGACAATTCAATATAATAACGTCTGAATTGATAATTTTCTTCAACTAATCAACCAATTAATAGATTTCCTATTGTTCCCTTGTTATTAAATATTTTAGGATGTTTTATGTGTGCATCTCTTAAAATGTATGATTGTTATATATGAAACTGGTTGCATTAAGTTTAAGTGTAACTATACTTGATCATTATTGTGTGCTTTTTGTTTCCTGTAAGTGAATGATATCTTCAAACTAGTCATAGTTTAATGAATGAAAAATTATTGAAATAATCGTGTTTAGTTGCGACTGTTTATGGAATTCAAAGGTGTGGGTTATGCTTATTTGGGATTCGTCAGTTAAATGTACGTGTCTTTCTGGAACTGCAGAGTAAGTAAGTAGTCCTGCGTTTAGGCGGATGGTTCTAGGTAGAGATGGTAATTTGGTTGATGAGATCAAATTCTTACTGACTGTGGTAGTCGAGATATATGCTACACATTTCGAGCTGACAAAATGCTATGCAAGCCAATATTGGGATAGAATAAAATAATAATAAGGCTGACCAAACCAAAATATAACGTCAATTATTGTTTGTTGAACTGAACTGTTTCCAAATGGCGGATACAATTCACCGTCGATATCGGTGAAATCATCGTGTTGTGTGCGATACTTGTCAGTTTTTACAATCAATTACTATAAAGGAGTTGTATTCACCCTTTATTATTATTTAGCTTTTGAGTTTTCATCATGTTATGCGCTTCCTAATCTTCAATCTCAAAGCCAAATTTTGTTTACTAATGATACCATTAATTTAGCGATCTCTTGTTATACTTACCAATTTTAAAACTACGAAAGAAATCCGTTGTGTCATTAAGCAAAAGACGGTTCAGTGAAGGAAATTTCTTTTTTGACATCACTTACTAATCCTGCGGTCTTGCATTTTTAGTTAAGCAAATTATATCAGTCCACAGAAAAATATTACCATTAGTAAAGTTATAAAAAATCTGAGTATCAATTAAAGTTATACGATAGGGTAGCGCGAATCAAAATTAAGCATAAAATAGGTGTGGAAAATGTTATTCTCTTCCTTCTATTCTTCAGGTGAATAAATGTGTCAGAAACAGCTTACAGCGTATGAAGGGAGTGTTAGGACCATGGTAAAAGAAGCGATTAGAAATACCTCTCTTGAACACAAAAACAAGGGTCGAATTAATAAATTGCCAGTCTCCGTGTTAGGGGTATTTGTTATCCAACTATTGATAGAATCAGTTCATCTTTATGAATGATTCTGAATAAAGATTCCGGTGAAGGGCGATGAGTGGAATCGGTCAGTGATCTAAAGATGGGAATGTTGACTGATTTGGATTGATTGGCGGGCGTAAAGTATACGGAGAAACCAGTCAGGATTTCTTCGGAAGTTCATTCTTGCATAGTGGATAGTATTAGTTTGTGATAAAAACCTCAATAATTCATCTATAAGGCTCGTTATTCGTGTTAAATCTGTTTTTCAATAATCCAAGTCTAGCGGCAAGCACTTAACTCCTAATCTGGCATTCGTTGGAATAGAAGTTTAACTTCAGTCAGTTCCAGATATTGGGCGGTTATTTTCCGATGTCATTGCTGGGTGACTGTCTCACCCCTGATAATGTTGAGCTCCACCGGTCACAGCTTCTCGCTAGCACTTCGTGGATCGCCTCTTGAAATTAGTCACTGATGAGCCCTTGGTTATAAATGGTCTAGGGGGTTTGTAGAAGATTCTGAATTTCATAGTTAACACCACTGTCCTGGGTTCCATCCCAGACAGAATTGTGGATCTACACTCCTGGGGAGTCCTGTACTAGGAAGAAACATGTTCGGTGTTTCCTATTTTTAAATAGTGGTCTAATTAATATCAATCCGTGATGTGAACTATGAAACTCATTATTTATTAGTTATCTTTATCTTGTTCACTTCTGTTAATTAATTTCCCTATCTTTGTCTACCAAATAGACGCGCTGGATACACTGAACACTGTTTATGTTTCTGAAATGCATTGACTACTTTGATAATATACATGTTTCTAATTAGTTGTCGTTGAATTGGTTGATATACAGTTGAATTAACCCAAATAAAGTTCACTTAATCTGGTGTTTCAATTAAGAAAATATTCTGTACGACCTTGGCTTTTTCACTGTAGTCGGCTGGCAGGAAGGAAGAAGATGAAGGCATTCTCATTCATTGTATTGAAGTTCAGGTTGCTAAAAATAAACTTATTGTAAGAACCTTGCAACTGTTGACAGGGATGACATTTTCCGGGAAATCTTTTAAAGATGATGATCTCTTTTGCTAACAATCACAAAATCAGCCAAATATTTCTTCTATTTCTCAAACTGATTCTGTTTGACTTACTGGTTGTCTTTTGAAAATACATTTCGTATTCTAGGTTATTTATCAATCTACAAGTTATTTAGATATTCAGTAAACACAGAACAAAATTCATGTTACTGTAAATACTTGTAAGTTTTACATATTTCAGACTAATAGCCAGTGGTTTATTTGGTGAAATTATGTTATACTAAAAATAAGGGTTTGCTACGAAGAATATAGGAAATATGGGACTTGATTAACTATTCATTGGTGAGTTTTTCTATATTGTTAATACAACCCTCGTTGTAAGCCATGTTATTACAATCCTGAGTGATTTATCCCATTTTTTGGACAGACTTTACTAGTTCAGGCAACATGTAACCGACGTGTCATTTTTACCTTCCGGATAACTCTACTCTCCTCATAGGAAATTGTAATCTTCAGTACATATATCGGCGAGACTCTAATTTAGGGACGAGCCAATCAGAAGCTTTTGAGCAATTTCAATTACCAGTCAATCAGAAGACAGTATAAAGTAAAAATATATAATAAGAAAGTAATGAATTACAGTGGATATCCTTCTTTTACATGATTTAAAAACTTGTTAAGGTTTGATAAAGGTTCAGAGGTTCTGAATTCATAATACGGTATAGAAACTTGTCCATACGGTTAGGTTAGGGTTGTAGCCTCTCAATAAACACCTTCTCTAAAATCCGTTGTAAATCGATCGTATGTTAGCATCAAGTGTTGAACTTGGCTCCATGAACTTGAAATTGCTCAAACGCTTGTGATTGGCTCGTCCCTAAATTGGAATCTCGCCACCCTAACCCTATGGACAAGTTTCTATACCGTATACATTATGAATTCAGAACCTCTGAACCTTCATCAAACCTTAACAAGTTTTTAAATCATGTAAAAGAAGATTATCCACTGTAATTCATTACTTTCTTATGATATGTTTTCACCTTATACTAACTGTCTTCTGACTGGCTAATAATTGTCAAGGTAATTTAAGATTCGTTCAAAGGTCGTCCCTAAATTAGAGTCTCGCCTATTTGTTAATGCCCGTCACCTTCTTGGGACTATCTTGAGTTATATTAACACTTGTAATGAGAAATATTCTGATTACCCACCTCTGCCTCTCTCTCCTCTTTTTCCTCCTGCTAAAATGTATATGTGGATTATAAACATCCGAAACGCTCTCCTTTGACTTTCGATACACCGTTCTAAACGCGTTAAGTCGAAAAAATATTTACAGAGTAAGTAGGATCTGTATTTCGTCTACATCATTAACTATTCTATCTCGTTGGTGTCAGACCATGTGGACTGAAGTCTTTTAACACGATAATTTTTGCCATATCTTTTGTTGTTCATAGATTACGGCCAGTTATCCATAAATTTATACAAGTCAGCTTTCTACCAAAGAATTTCCTTGTTATCTACTTATTAAGATCCATAATTTCATGTTCATCGTGATCGGTTATTTCAGTTATAAGTCTGAATAGTATATGGTATAATTGTTTTTTACCGAAAAACTTCCAGGACTCATGAAATGACCTTGAGAAATAAATAACCTATTTTTAGCTAACAAATGAAAGTGTTTTAAGTGGAAAATTTATTCTATGAAATCCCCCATTACACTTGAGAATTCTGATTTGGATTAGAAATCAGAGTTACCGTTAGGTATTTGATTCGGGAGTTATGGTTATGAATCAAGTGGAAGAATGTTTTGTAGCAATATAGATGAATACTTATTTAGTTATTTCTTTCGGAAATCCATAAATTCTGATCCTTATATCTTAGTCGCCCTATAGTTATCCATTTTAGTTGTTTCAGAAACAAAATATTGGTAGGTTTTACTAAGCTTTAATGAGATGCAAGCTATACGTTATCTTCTGGATTTTGAGAAAAACCCCAACATAAACCAACTTTGTTCGTCGGTAAAATATACTTACGCTGTGACAGTTACTTGTGGCTACACATTTGGTTTCCTTATTAGGGGTTCGGTGATTGAAATTCGCATGATCTATATGTTCTGTGTATCATAGTTATTGAACTTATTGGAGATAGTATAGACGAGAATACAATGGGTTTGTTTATAGAAAAACAAGTTACAGACTTCAAAAATACTATGAGAGCAACCACTGTAATAATGTTGATCATAGTCAGTCGAAATTTAGGTAACCGAATTAATAGAGAATTCGAATTGAATTATGGACATATCTACAAAACAATTTTTCTAACTTATGCAGTTAAACAAATTATCATTGAATAAGTTCACGACTTTGTGTTTTCACGACATAAATCCTACGGGACATTGAACAAAATATTTGGATAAAGTATCAACAAGTGACTTTTCCTTTAGTATCTCACTCGAAATGTATTTTCCTCTGGATCATGAGCTGCATTATTCCTAATTAAACTTTTCCATTTTGTCTTTTTGAGGGAATTTTTGTCATTTTAACTGTTACTACATTATTTTGATTCGTTTGCTGTTTGTCTTGCCAATTTCATTTCATCGTGCTAAAGTGGTATAACATTTTAGACAAATCACATTTGTGTCCAGCTCTACATCAATTTATGGTTGATTTTTATCTTTATGGCTTTTTCTATTTTTAAATCTAAAGTACTCTACTGAGTAAGATCCACAATGTTTCTTATGTTCAATAAATTTGTCGAATCCACTACTTTCAGCCGTTTTCACGTTCATTTAACAATTGAGTTCTGCATACCATACCAAAGCGTAATTCTCATTGAAGATGTCATCCTAATCCCTTATTTTCACCATGCATGTTTTTCATTCAACATGTTTGAAAGTAAAAAAGTTATGGGAAACTAGAAAATACCATTTTTAAACAGTGGAGATAAATTTTCACCTGACCCCTTGAAAATATATTCTTTTTAAATAACTTATGGAGAGATTTTTTTAATAAGTACCCATACATTT